GTGTGACACAGAACATAGCACATTATATTGACTTCAGTGTTCAGTAGCCTCTGAACATTTATGACTATGCTTTACAGCATTCCATGTGCTCTTTCTGGAAGACCTGATTAAATTCATGTTGGTAGAATCCGAACAGGAGAACCGAGTCCTTTCCTACTTGCTCCTGAAGCCTATGAGGCTTCATATGCACTAATAAAGGGTGTATTTTATCATAACTAAGAAACATTAGCTGTTTCATTATAAAAATATTGTGGAGATAAGCACTGTATTTAGCCACAAGTTAAACATGTCAAGGTCAATTGCAGGAAAATGAAAAACATAACACAGACCTTGTCTATCTGCCTTGTAGTAAACATCATAAATTTCTTGCCTCTACTTGTATTTTTTATTGCTCATTAATAGCCTCGATGTTTAAAACAAACAAAAAACCAAGACAAAACTTACAAAAGAAAACAAAACAACCCCAAAAAACCCAAACCCAAAACCTCAACAACAGCAAAAACCAAAATGCACCTTTGTTTCCAGGAGGACAGAGCTTACGATAACCATCCACTGAAGTGGATGCACTGATGTTCTAAGCAAATAAACCCAGATGTCTGGAAAAGTTCCATACCTATCTCTTGCTTTGGACATGTATACCTTATACAAAGAGTTAAGGGGAGGAGAGGAAGGCAGGTATAAATAAATATTATAGGAAACCTTTTCATATTGTGGAGAAGGTTTCTGCACATCATAAACTGGGAATTTTTCCCTCTCACAAATTAGTATCACTTTTATTCCCTATGCTACTAACCCTCCTGACACACAGAAAACATTTTCAGTTCAGAACTTTGACTTTTTTTATCGAAGAATTAAGCAGTACATTTCATTTCCCTTGCCACTCAGTGACCGTAAGAAATGACAATCCTGGAATAACAGTATGAAATTACAAGAATATAAAATTATAATCAGCAATAGAATTATGCAGTATTGAGGATATCTGTTAGGTTGTGGTTTTGCCTTCTGAGAGATTTATGAAACACTCATCACTCCACTGGGTGATGTAACAGAGTAAGCCTATGTTAGTCAATGGGGGGGAATTTAGGATCACAATGTCTCTGTCAGATAAAAACAGAGTCTGTATGAGAAAAACTGTGGCAATACACCAGTGTCTGGTCTTGCAGAGTTTCATGACAGCATGAGGAGAAAAGATGACCTTTTGACAATTTTTAGAAAAGATGCAGCTCGTATGCCTAACACAAGCTTTGAGTACAGTACCTAGGCTAAGCTCCATGGCAGGTATGAAAAGGCAAGGCCTTACACATGCTTGAAGGCTCTGAGATTCCTCATACCAGTAGCAGTGCTATCATTCCACCATATGCACTGCTTGAACTACCCAAGTTTACTTAGGCTGTTCAGAAAAGATGGAAATACAGGACATCATGTCTTCTCTTTGTCAGTACACAGATAAAGGATTATAGACAATCCTCCCTTGTTCCACAGATCCCTGCTTTCTGCTGCAAGACAGTGCCTGTTTGTGAATGCAGATTTTCTGCAAAGCTCTGTCTGTGCTTTGGCCAGGGCTGAAGAAGGGGCAGCTCCTCACGTCCAGCCTGAGGGGTGGAGTGGCAGGGGTGATTAGCCAGAGTTCAGTCCTCTGGCAAAGAGCTTGCTACAGTTTTATTTGTTACTTCTATATACAAAGGGACTTCAATTAGCTGTATGCTGTCTGAGACAAGAGAGCCTTTATAAGCTTCAAAATGGTCTACAAATAGTGCTTCTGTTCCTTCACTGATGTGTGGGACTCTCCCGTGGGATATATAATGGCTATTGTGTTACTCAGAGAGCTGTATCTGGGTTCTATCTGGAGCCTGCTTTTTCATGGGGTATTTATAAAACTAGCCAATTTATAGACTGCTCAAGTTTGTCTTAAGAAACAAGGTGTCTTTCAAAAGATAATTCAGAATGAACTCCGTGGGTGCTGTATTACTTGCAAGCTATGTGAAGTGAGGAAAAGGGCAATGAAACCATGGCAGCAAGCGATCACTGGCGCAGCAGCGCAGACACAAAAGGACTGCGTGCCTGAACAGAGACTGAGGGAGGTTAAACTTGCTCCCGTCTGAGAAAGAACAAGGCTCTGGAAAGGAATCCTGCTCTTTCTAGCTGGCACAGGCAGGGCATCTTAAAGAAATGTATGGGGAGAAAGAAGAGGTAGGGCATAGCTAATGAAAGGGAGACGTACATAACACCACTGGACTGACTTTCCCTAACAAAGTGGTGTCACCTGGAAAGAAAATTGAGATTTCTAGGGCTAACAGAGCACCATTTTGTATGGGGTTTTGTCAGGCTTCAGTGAAGATAGTGCCCTTCACTTCAATAAGTAGTTTAAGAATCAGAATTAGATGCATTCAAGATATAAGGTACACAGTTCACAACAAGAATAACTTACAAAAGAACAGATAATTTTATCATTTTGTATACATAAAAACTGGATGTCATTGTAATTCTTGAATATAGAATACATAAACCCATGTATTGTTCTTTTAAAATGTATACTTTTAGAAAACCACAGTAGTTCTCCCTTGATATGGTAAGTGCTAACTAACACTGAAAGCTATTCTCTACAAGGAAGGAGGGAGGAAAGAAGACAGTAATATATCTAGATAATTGGTAGCCAGATGTTACAGCATCCTCACTACTAACTTGGAATGCAGATAAGCAGCAAAGCTGAGATGCAGAACAAAACAATTCTGAATTCAAGGGTGATCTGAACTGAGACAAAAGGAACAATATCTTAATGGCAGAAATTAAGACTCCAGAGTCCATGACTCCAAAGGCCTCAATCTGTTGAAAATCTCTGGAGAAGTCAGAATGTTTCCCAACTTCTACCAAAATAAAAACCATGAAAACATTTAAAAGAAGAGCAAGGCTGCAAAGGAAAGTACTAAAAATTGGGGCTGTAAGAATTCTTGCAAAGTGCATACTGTTAGAGTCACCTTTGTTGCACGTGCATTAGAGCTGCTTCTGTTCCCTTCAGATTCGTGGCCTCATTCAACACACAAAACACAACGCTCTTGCTCTAGCCGTGAATTAGGGGTTGGTAGCAAAAGTAATGAGAAGACATCTTCTTCACTTCTTGACAAAGTCAGAAGACACAGAAGCAAGTAAATACAGTAAATAGATACTTACTGTAGATTCAGGCAATAAATAAAGTAGAATAGTGAAGGGAAAAGAGAGAAAAGAAAAAAATATTTAAAGTAGGATTCTAATATTGCCTCTGGCAATAGAAGTTTCTGTGCTCTGGTGGGAAAGTCACCCAACTAACATTTCTTAGAGGTGCTCGCTAATGGTGTATTGCATGTTTTCTAGCTGACCCACCTCATACACCTTTAACCTTAGTGTCAAAGTATGTTATGTTTGCGGCTAAAAACAAAGCCACAGGGAGCTGCACACTTAACCTGTAGCATTCAGTACACCCTGAGCATCATTTTTAAAGGGGCATTCAAAGAGAGAATTACCTGCTTTGGTCTAAGCTACAGTAATTATTTTCAGTGTCCCGTTAACTGAGTATCTAAACCCAGCGTTTGAGAAATGACAGCATTTGGAATTAAGCAGGAGAATCACCAACAAAATAGAGAAATACACTGAAAGCCACAAAATTTTCCAGGGCAAGTCCTAACTCTTAGCAACAGTGATGGAAAACATTTAACAACAAAGTGTTCAGTAGATTAATTCAACGTAAGCAACCTGTAATTGATTTGCTAAAGCTGCCCTCAGGAGGATATCTACCACTAATTGTTTAAGAGTTGAGAGAGTAAAGGACAAAGCCACAGCAACTGAACCATAAAGTCTTGAACTGAGTAGAAGATTGCTTTATTACTAAAGATAATTTTATTCTGTGTTGATGTTACTTGCTTTTGATAACTATTAAATGAGGCAAATTAAACAGGAAGGTTTTTTTTTTTTCCAAAGTTAAAAACACAACACTAACTATTATGGCATCAAAATCCACCATCAAATTTATTGGAAACTCTACTATCAAGATCCTGCCTAAGAAGACAGTCATAGCCTAAGCAATAAAACTATATATACACATGAATTATCATCTGAACATCTTCTAATGCATACAATTTAAATGAATGTCTGTGATTTTTATTCAGGTTTTAAATAAATTATGTTGGCTTCCTTCTCTGTCCAGCACTTTCTGATGCAGTCATGTGAAATACTTTTTTTTTTAAAACTTATTGTTTTAAAATAATTTTGCACAGAAGAGGTCACAGCTAACAACAGCTTTGCTGATATTTTTAGCAGCAAAGAGTTAAGGCCTCAAAGAAGAATCCTTTATTAATAAAATTCATAGGTAGATCACATTAAATCTTTAACCATGTAATCATCTATTACCAACTACTTTTCCATGCTTGCTCATTTACAAACTGTTGTGGCAAAAAACCCTCCAGAACATTCATTCCTTTGATTAAGCATCTCCCTGACTTGAGCATAGCTACTGCCAAGCTCTGTTGTCAGCTTCACTTGCCTGGCAAGATGGCAACATGGATTTCCTCAGATGGAGACAAAACCTACTAAAAATCACAAGGAACTCAAGTCTCCCGACAGTACTATTTTGATATTATCAAATATCAGCAGAGAGATCGTGGAACATTGAAACCACGCAAACCCATAGAAAGGACAAGAGCAGGACAGCCTCAAACACTGAACTGCATTTCCTCTTACTGCCATGATGCAACTCCCTAATTGCTCCACACTGATTTTGGACACTGAACATGAACATGGGACTCCCTGTTGGCAATTAATGGCATTAAATCTTTCTTGGATAATTCTTCATTGTTTACTTCTTTTTGATATGATTAAAATAGTACTGCTAAATTCTATTTCTCCGACTTGCACATGTCTTTTAAATTCACCACGTATATGTCCTATTTATAAAGGAATAACCACTGTTGTGTTAGTTGCCTTCATACACAGTTCAGTTTCAAATTACTTAAGAAGTAGGGGTATCTTACCAGGACTGGTTCTGTACAGCTCAGACGGGCTGCTGACCTTTTGGCTGGAGGGAATCCGCTGGTGGTATAGTGGAGGTGTTTTCACTAGGAGAGAAGAAAAAGTACAATTCCTCTTCAGTAACAGCTAAAATGTTAATGGTGCTATTAAAATAAATAAATGAGAGAGAGACAGACATTTCCTTACCATATGATGTCTCTGGTGACAGGGGAAAAGCTGTTGTGGACAGGACAGCTTCATTTCCATTTTCTGTTGGGGAGAAGATTCCCCCATCTACTTCATCTTGGTAATGTGCAACAGCCATCTAGAAAGGACACAAAAAAGCAAAATTGCAGTGTGGAAATTCCCACTTAACCCTACAACACAGTGGGGCATTTTTCACCCGATTACAGAAGGTTTCATATAATCTGATCCACTCTTCCAGCAGAGAGATCTTGGAACACTGAAAACATGCAAACGCACAGAGAGGACAAGAGCAGGACATCCTTAAACACTGAACTGCATTCTGAGATAACTACAGTCATTTGTTCTTCTTATTGCCATGATGCAACTGCCCAGTTGCTTCACATGGATTTTGGACACTGAACATTCACTTCAATAAATATTTCTTGAAAAATTCTTCATTGTTTACCTCCTTAGTCTCCCCTACAGGAATCGGTGATCCTGGATCTACAGCCTGGTCAGTAGCAGGAGACTTCATCCATCCACACCTGTTATACAATGGCTGCCCAGGGACATCATTGTCATACTGCCCAACACTTAACTTTCTGATCCTTCCCCCTGTTGCATTGTCATCTTGCGTATCTGTTGCTGAAAACAAATAGGTAAACTGATTAATAAATATTTTTTTTCAGTTAGAGCTGTTAAAACAAACTTCAGTATTGTGCCTTCAGTGATTCTGTTCAAGAATGCTTATGAAATAACTGGTTTCATACCTGCTTTACAAAATCACACAGGTGGGGGGAAAAAAAAAAATCAGTTGTAGTTAGCCTTGCTGACACAAGTTGGAACATATTTGCAGTACACCTGGTTCCAGAGGAGTGAAGCAGCGTGTTTCTACTGACGCTCATTTTTGGAAGAGGTTACCCCCAGTGCCACCGGTAGAGCCTGCCAGCAGGGGCCACTATGGGCAGCCAAATGGGAAACCTCTCTTTCCATCCCTGACACACAGCAGCTCTCTGCAGCAAAACCACTGCTGCTTTCCAGGACTGCATGTTCCCAGAAAAAACAGCTTCTTTTTAGCTAACACAGACCCTGGCCCTTATAAACCCAGTTCACTGTACACCTTTTGTGACACGCATGGCAATCACAGTTAATCACAAAAATCAGGTATTAGATACACACAGGAGCTGTAACCTTTTGGAGTCTGAGGAACGGAGCACAAGAGTAAGCTGAGCCAGCAGAACAATCCTGGGTATTCAAGGGCATAAAGCAGTATTTGTTTCCAAAGACACTATTAAGAGAGTCATTAGATACAGCTTTATGATTAGCAGGACTTCATACTTAGTCATCTAGTCCCACCAACAGGCACTTTCAGAATATTCCTGCAGCAATTGCTTTTTTCCACCCTTCTTTGTAAGAATAAGTCTACAATAAGGATCTCTCAGTAGTCCTTACTGTGTAGTCACAGGACAGTACAAAAATAACCATATGCGTAACAACTTTTCAGATACTCCTCTGAGAGTTTTTATTGTCTATATATGCAAAAAGATCTTTGAGAATTAGCTATTTCTCTAAAAGAGCTGAGGATTTCTAAAATAACTTGTTTTCATTGCTCAGTGTCACTTAAACTCTCATAATCATTTCCAACTGTAAGTATGTGTTGATTAAGCACATCTCCTACACACCCTGATCATGGAGCCGTAACAGTAGGAGTCCAAAGGGTGCCCTTCATCTAAACCAGCAGAAGGGCTGAACCAGTCACTTCGGTAGATAAAGACAATGGTGTACACCTTCCACAAAAATCCATTTCCTAATCTAAAGTAGCTGATAGAAGCCAAGGTGTAAAAATCTGGCATGTGGTGTAAGTGCCTGTATTATAGATATTTCACCTTGATTATATAGCACAATTATAGAGCATCAGTACACAAATAGGTTTCTGTATAGGAGAACAGTTTTTATTCAAGATTAAAATATAGACAGGGATTTCAGACTAAAATCCATGATACTTAAGTGATTCTGCATTGATACACATATGTATCAACCTGAGTAACTTGCTGGCAAGTAGTAGCTTATCCTAAAAATATTAATAAATCTCTTGTAAACCTACAGAATTAGACCCCCCCCCCCCCCCCCCCCAGCCAGTGTGACAGTAACTACTACTAAAGCAAAAAAATAAACAAACCCCTACTAGTCACTTTTTGAAAATTCCACCAATAGGGTTAAAATTCAGGGTCCAAATTTAGCCAGTTATTTATTCTATCGAGTCAATATAAATATACCTAGCACATCCTGGGAAAGACACAGCTGAGATTCTGTTTTTATGGTACAACTTTGAAAACTAAAATACTTTTAAAGCACCCATATTTTAAACACTTATTTAACCCTTTTTCCCCTGACTAGAAACTTTATGTATGGTCTTTCAGGTGGAAAGAGCATCTTCTGAAGACACTGTGAGCAAACTAGATGCATCAAACAAGATCTCCAAAGCCAGAAAAGGACATGAAATCACAAATATCTTCCAAACCTCTTTAAGTGATGCTAAAAAGCCATGAAGATTTCTAGTGAAATTGAAGACACTTAGGAATGTAGACAGAGCTCATACTACTCCAGAATTTACCAACTTTTTGCATTGGAATTCTTTTTTTATTTCTGTAAAGAAAAATGAGTGGGAATCACTGTGCAGAATCTCAGCCTTCGAAGAGACCATCGGAGACCAAGCACTCCCAGCCCCACCGCTCCTCCACAGGAGGCAATGGGAGCCAGGAACAGCATATGAGAGTTTCGCTCCATTTGTAACCGAGTTATTAAGGTACAGGCAGTTTCTTTCTGAATGTGCCCCTCCTATTTAACACAGTCACACAGATTACTTTATGAGAGAGAATGTCTACCTTTTGGATGGGTCAAAACAGACCTTAAAATTTAGTGCAGATTTTATTTGTCATGCTAATGAGAAGGCTTCGTCATCAATGATATTTGTACACTCATGTTATTCGTATTCATACACTTGTGAAGCTTGTAATTTCTACGAAGTTAACATAGTCCTCAGAAAGCTGCAAAGAGGTATCTCAGGGAAACCGGACATTTTCTTTAAATAGACTGGAAGTGCTTTACGTATCAAATTCCCAGCAGATGTTGGACAACAGAGGGGAGAAGTTGAGCTGATATATTGCAATAAAGCTTAAAGCAAGTAACTTGAGTCTAAGAGATAAAAATTAAGTGATGAGGTCAACAAAAAATTACTTTTACGTAGTTTATTAGTTTCGTGAATGTACTTCAGAGCTGCCTCACTTAATGTAACAGATATTTACAGTTATTAATTTAAAAGACATCTTTTACAGTGGAAAGTGTCAGGAGCCAAGGCTTCCTAGAAGTCACATCATTCGGTTTTGTTCTTGTAGTTTAGCTTAAAGTTTTGGCAGAGCTTCATAAATATCCCAGGAGCACATATTTATTTCTTTGAAAGCATTTTGTATACTCTCATTTCTCTCTTTTCCCTTGTGAACTACAAAAATAATTTTGTTTTCCCTGAAGAACAAATAATAACATTCCAACAGATTGGCATCAGAACAGCATCAAGCATTTATCTTGTCAGATGGTTATCACCATGCCAATGCTACAGCTAACAGAAGCATGGCCAGTGGTTAAAGGTTAATCTTTGTTTGGTTTCTTTAGCTGCTTAGCTTTCCTGGAGTACTATTGAGAGGTATTTATAACTATTAGAAAGAAAACAACACTAAGCTAAAAATCTTGTCTGCAGTGGCATGTCAACAACAGTGCTCCATCTCGTATATTAGCAGTTGTCCCAGCTAAACTTCAAAAACTATTATGTTAACTCTTCATGTGTTATACATGTTTGTATTTACCGAGTGCATGAGGCACACCATTAAAAAGGTCCACATTTACTTTCAGTTCCCACAACAACTACTAAGATGATACTTACATGTTTCCACTTGATTCACAGGGCTTGTGGGCCAGCCTCAAAACCAGCTTTATGCGAGAGTGGGGCAAGCACAGCGTACATGGTAGGACTCTCTAGGAAGAACTTTTCTTGTGGAGGTGGAAGAACAAGCTGGACCGATAGCCCTTCTGCCCATTATGGAAGTCTTTATGATTTGTAAAATAGAACTATTAGTCTTTTCCAAAACCCAGCACAGTCCATCAAAGACCTTCCCTTAACTTCTACCTAGTTTGTATCGCAGCCAACTGTGCAAATTACAGTCAAACTGGAAACCCCTTACAACAGATAATTATAAAACAAAGTTCATAAGAAATATGAAAGTTTCCACATCTTGTTCTTTACCGCTCTATACGGGGCTCTAAATCACATTATGACTTTGTGCATGAACAGGTGCAGTCACGTTTAAAGACTTGAGTATTACTTCAGGCCACTCAAATACCCTTCTGTTCCTCTGCATTATTTTTCTTGATAGAGGTTTTTTTGCTTTTAAACAAAAGCAATGTATTATAGAAAAGTCTTACATAAACTCTATCAATAAACTTATTCAAATTGGTTTGGGGGGGGCGGGGGGGGGGGGGGGGGAGATTATGAAACATTGAATCACAACAGGATAAAAATGCTTTAGAGTCTCCAGATTCACGTTATCCTGGTTACCACTAAAAATAAGCAAAAAACATATTTAGTAGTTATTTATTCCTTGAATAACCTGTAGGCTCCATAATGTACTTCAAATTATCAAAATAATAATTTGCTCTCCTTTAGTATTAAGGAATCAGAATAGAATAGAGTATTTCAGTTGGAAGGGACCTACAATGATTATCCAGTCCAACTGCTTGACCAGTTCAGGGCTGACCAAAAGCTAAAGCATGGCATTAAGGGCATTGTCCAAATGCCTCTTAAACACTGACAGGCATGGGGCATTAACCACCTCTCCAGGAAGCCTGTGCCAGGGTTTGACCACCCTCTCAGTAAAGAAATGCTTCCTAATGTCAAGTCTGAACCTCCCCTGACGGACACAGCTTTGAGCCATTCCCACGCATCCTGGCACTGGATCACAGGGAGAAGAGATCATCACCTCCCTCTCCACTTCCCCTCCTCAGGAAGCTGTAGAGAGCAGTGCGGTCGCCCCTCAGCCTCCTTCTCTCCAAACTAGACAAACCCAAAGTCCTTAGCCGCTCCTCAGAGGACCTTCCTTCCAGCCCCTTCCCCAGCTTTGTTGCCCTCCTCTGGACACGTCCAAGGACCTGAACATCCTTCTTAAATTGTAGGGCCCACAACC